AAGTTACTAAATCCAAAATAGTTACGTTGAACCGGCGGCGCTGAAGTATTTGTTAATGAAAATAAATCCACATTCAGGTGCGTCAAACTAAGTACCTATATGAGGGTTGGAATCAATGGGGCACAGATAAAATAGACACTATTATATACCTCACTTAAGAAATCCAGCCATCTGATTGGTCGAAATTGCATTCATAAACTTTAACTATTCCTGTAAAATTCCCGGTAAAATTCCAAACCCATGTAATAGTTCTAAAAAATTGTTTTAAAATCCCAGTAACCATGGTTATCGGGAAAGTAGTTCAGTCTTGGTGAAATACCAATAGGTTGACATGTTAAAAAATGGTCTGAGCGATCGAGGATACCGTACGTGTGCGATGAATTGGTCGGTAATTTCAATACAATTGAATCTCGATCGATCTTACCGACAATTTTATCTTGCATTGTTGACATGAAGACGAAAATAAACTTCCAAAAACAACATCTGCCGATAGATCTTGATCTAAGTTCGTGCCAATGCATTACAAAAGTAAAAGAAGGGCCCGTTTAATGGAGCTGCCGCGAAGCATCCAGCACGCGAAGCCGTTTTTAATCCATTTTAATGTATGGATCAGAGAAAACTGCCAGATTTGGTAAAAGTGCGCGATGGCCGAGCGGTCTAAGGCGGCGATTTTAGTCACATCATCGTTGGTGCGCAAGAGATCGAATCCCATCTTCGAAAAAGGTATTTTCATTTTTTATTTTTTATTTTTTAGTCTACTCTCAAAGATACACTCATAAAAACAACCGTGCAGATAAACTAGATAAAGGCCAAGGTGGTGTCATAAGCTGACTTTTTTTCGGCATATAAAAGTATTAATGACTGCTTTAGTATTCGAGAAATAGTTGTTTTTATACGCTCTCGGGAAGGTTACAATTGGGCTATTGCCCTCGGCACGCCTCGGGCAATAGCACAATTCTAACTTCCCTTGAGCGTATAAAAACAACTATTTCTCTCAAAGCAGTCATTAATACTATACTAGTATATGTATCAGTGTTAATACCTAATGGGCAAAAAGGGAATCGGAAAAACTCAGTGATAGATAGTTGCTATAATAGCGAGGATAAATACAACTAGGTCAAATTGATGGATTCGATGATATCCCGAGTTGTTAATAAAGATATCATACATGTATTTTTAAAAACAAATCGGTTATTGATTTATTTATCTATTTAACCTTTTAAATTATCAATATTATTATTACTATCATTATTATTATTATTATTATTAATCTTTTTTTTTTGGGGGGGGGGTGGGGTACAAGTTGGGATTTATTAATGCATAATTATAGGCCTATAACAATTCAGCTTTGTTATGAATACATTACCACATTGATGATAAGTACTAACTAATGACTGGTCATTTGTAATTTCACCTGTTAGGCAAAATAAATACCTGGTCACGTGTACGTTCCCAACCAATCATTTGATTCGGATCTGCTATACCTTCTTATAACAGTATTTATACTGACTTGTATTGTTACCGTAGCCGAGAGAGTTTACACTCTTAGACACTCTTGACAGGGGACAATCTGCTATCCTTCACCGGGTATTTTTTTCCTATGTGATAAACAGAAGCTACGATGGATCTTATCTTTCAATATGTTTTAGTGAAGAGTATTACGTCGGTTAAGACCACCTGTAATACTTGGTTAGGGTAAGGTTTAAAACATTCGATAAACGGGAATGGTTATATATGAGTTATTTTTTTTCCAGATTACAATTACGCACTAAGCTTAATCTGCAATTTGAATATTTTGTTTTTTTGGTACGATGTTCCGGAGGAGTGTCATGGAATGGAATGATACGCAATACATTTACATTGTTTCTCTTAATGACACTTAGTAATACATATTTAAATAATTAGAGACAAAAACGTGACTCAAGTACTTGATAAGTTATCATGAGTGTACCTTAGATATAGTATATATCTGATACTGAAAACGGAACGCAGTTATGTAACACGAAACTTCTCATTTAATCGCCGAACCTTTTTTTTTCTTTCTTAATGCAGGTAATGCGGGTTTGCAGCTCGTAAACAGACCTGATCAGTATTCAGGCTACGTACAGGTCAAGCTAGCAAGTGGCAATTGGAGTCCACTGTATCTTTATTATTATTGGGATTTGTCTCGGTATCAGTATATCTCGAACATCTGTCGTCAGCTTGGATTCGGGGAGCTCAACTTCTGGGATAGTTTTGAATATAGCAGCACGTACAGTATGACAAAGGTGACGAGATGTCCTTACGAAGTTGCGCATCACCGAAGCTGCATATTTTATTGGGGGATTAATTATCACACTAACTATGATAAAGATGACAAACAACATTTCCAGGTCCGTTTCGAGGGTACCCGAGCGTGTGTGCACCCTGTATTTGTAATGCGGCTTCTTGGTCGTGACAGTGACCCAATGATAAATTGACGTCAAAAGGCCCATTTAAACATCCCAAACGAATTTTGGCATTGCCATACTGGAAATGAACGTAGTTTGCTATTGTCTTGAACGTTATTATCAGCACCATGTAATATAAAATCGTCGACATAAAATAGGCAAAGTGCGTGTAATTAAAATCGAACCATCTCCAATATAACGTTCAACTTGGATGGCTCAATCGTCTGTTCATCTCGCGCCACCTCACATAACGGCGCCGATCCTATGCCGAATGCATTTGCCCTGGGGGCTGGTGGTACTTACATATTAAGACATATGGGGGTGTGTCGCTCTAATGGGGCACTTTTTCACACAAAAAATCCCTAAACGTGGGTCCAATTTTTAGCAAAAATATCATTAAAGATGGGTCAATTTTGTCAAAACCACAAAATGGCTACTACAAATGGGTAGAGGTTTCGGGACTTCAGCGGAACACCCCCATCCAAACCAAATGTGAGTACCACCCGGGTGCATTGTGAATTCCTGCGGTAGAAAATTATCATCATCGTAAGCTGGATTTCCACTACAACCCAAAATTGTCGATTTAACTCACACGAAAATTCGAAATCGAAAAGTCCTTCTCTTGAGTGTGGTCTGTTAAAACGCCTGTCGCAATTTCACCGATTTTTGCATTGTTTATGCCCGCTTTTGAAACTTAAGTACGATTCTGAATTTTGGGCACGTGACATTCCTCTCTTCCGTGCCCACGGATGCAGGGCACCGACAAGTGGCGGATGCGCATAACTTCCCTTAAAGGGGAAGTCCACCCTGAAATTAAGTTAGTTTTAATAGGAGAAGAAAAATGAGAGAAACAAGTCAGTGAAAGTTTGAGCAAATTCCGATTAAAAATAAGGAAGTTAGGATTTTTGAAGTTGTGATCAATCAAACACGAATTGGCAACTCTATGACGTATCATGCGAGCTCAACTTCCATTTGCTCAGTACTAAAAAACTCTAAAATTTTCATTTTCCCTCAAGAAAAATTTCAACCTTACATGCACCCTAAATATAATAATTGCAAATATGTTTCTATACTCCCCCTGCAAGGAACAAATATATATTACGTCATCAATAACGAAGAAAACATGATTTTATGGAATATTATGCACAAAGCAAATGAAGGAGAGCTCGTATAATAAGTCACAGAGTTGCCAATTTGTATTTGATTGATAACAACTTCAATAATTCATAACTTTCTTATTTTCATTCAGAATTTGCTCAAACTTTCACTCACCTGATTTTCTTATTATTCTGCCTCTATCGAAACAAACTTATTTTGGGGGTGGACTTTCCCTTTAAAAACTAAACGGTGTTTGGAATGTGTAAATGGGCCTGCAGTCTCTTTGTCGTTAACAAAGAATACATAAAATTGTTTCGATTTGGCAGTATACATAAATGATGTCTAACGAATGTTCGCTTAGCTTTGATCCATTACCAGATGATATTGGTGCTTTCGTAGATGACTCCATCCCGGAAGCTGGAAAACAAACTCACAATGGTGCTGATTTCTATAATCGACACACACCTAGGTTCCGGTTCAAAATTAATTGATGCAGTGTGAAAATTGCATGTATTCTTTGTGAACGACAAAGAGGTTGCAGGCCGATTTACACGTCCCAAACACTGTCTACGTGTTAAGGGAAGTAGTGCGCATCCGCCACTTGTCGGTGCCCTGCATCCGTGGGCACGGAAGAGAGGAATGTCACGTGAGCAAAATCCGGAATCGTACTGAAGTTTTAAGAGCGGGCATAAACAATGCAAAAATCCGTAAAATTGCGACAGGCGTTTTAAAAGCGCCTCGTAGCTAGCTCGCTTCGCTCGCCAGAGTTTACGGACTCCAACAGCGCCAGGACCATCGACAAGAGGCTAGGTAGAGGTCAAGCTGGTAAGTTGCAGTTGGAGTAAATTGTATCTTCGTTATTATTATTATGGCGATTTGTCTGCTTTTCAGAATCTCGAACATCTGTTGTCAGCTTAAACTCGGGGATCTCAACAGGTAGGATATTTTTAAATTTTAATATAGCGGCACTTACAGTATGACAAACGTGACGAGATTTTTTTACGGAGTTTCATATTTTATCCTAAGGAATACAATTTTGGGGTTAAATTCATCATAATCCGTATGATGAAAATGACACACAAAACTTCAAGATCTATTGCGGAGATGCCCCCCTGCACAACCAACCCCTATATCTAAGGCAGCTAAGGTGTCGCACAGTGACACCTTCATAGAAAACCATAATTTTTTTTGTGGTTTCAGAATGTTTTGTTTTTTATAGTACGATGTTCGGGAGGAGTGTAATGGAATGAAATGATATGAAATACATAAACATTGTTTCTCTTAATCACACTTGGTAATACATGTACATATTTAAATAATTTGAGACAAAAACGTGACTCAAATACTTGATAAGTAATCATAAGTGTACCTTAGATATGGTATATATCTAATATTGAAAATTTATCGGAACGCCGTTATACAACACGAAACTTCTCATTTATTCGCCGAACCTTTTTTTCTTTCTTAATGCAGGTGATGCGGGTTTGCAGCTCGTACAAGGACCTGATCAGTATTCAGGCTTCGTACAGGTCAAGCTAGCAAGTGGCAGTTGGAGTAAATTGTATCTTTATTATTATAATTATGGTTGGTTGTCTCGGTATCAGTATGTCTCGAACATTTACCGTCAGCTTGGACTCGGGGAGCTCAACTTCTGTGATAGTTTTGAATATAGCAGCACGTACAGTATGACGAAGGTAATAATAATAATAATAATAAAGACATTTTTATAGCGCGACATATCCACCCAGAGGGTGCTCAAGGCGCTTACAATGATCGAGCTACATAATATACTTAAATACAATTTTACTTACAATACATTACACATTACACATAAAAAAAAGGAAGAAGATGATATTAGTTAAAGTTGGCCATTAGATAAGTTTTCAGGCTGGCCTTGAAACTATCTACTGATTTACAGTCCTTAAGTGTGTTAGGGAGACTGTTCCACAATCGGGGAGCTGCTGAGGCAAATGCTCGATCTCCCCATGATCGTCTGGTCTTAGGGATGATCAGAGTTGATGTGTTGGCAGAACGCAGACCAGAACGACCAGGCTTGCGAAAGTTGAGTAGAGAAGAGATGTACTGTGGCGAGGAGAACTTCAAGGCACGGTATGTGATCAGAAGGATTTTGTAGGTGAGACGATGTTCAACAGGAAGCCAATGCAGGGATTTAAGGACTGGAGTGATGTGGGCGAACTTGCGTGTATATGTCACGAGACGGGCAGCAGCATTCTGAACAACCTGGAGCCTCTTAACTTGAGACATAGGGATGCCATAGAGTAAAGAGTTACAACAATCGATGCGGGATGTAACAAATGCATGCACAAGCTGCTCAGCCGCCTTTGTGGTGAGATACTTGCGAATAGCACGAAGATTGCGGAGACTGTGGATCGCAAGTTTAACACTTGATGATACTTGTGACTCCATGGTCATATTGGAGTCAAAAATAACTCCAAGATTTCGAACTTTCTTCACTGGAGTAATTGATGACGAACCAATATTCAGATAGGGGGTTACCGACTTGGCGAGTTGCTGCTTGGAACCCAGCATAACAAACTGAGATTTGTCGTCATTGAGCTTCAAGTAATTCTCCTTCATCCAATTCCTAATGTCACCCATACAGGCTTCAACACGAGCAATCCAGGCATCAACTTCCCCTTGTGTGGGAGAACACGAAAAGTATATCTGCGTGTCATTAGCATACATATGGTGCTTGAGATTATGCCTCTCGATGATATCATGAAGGGGAAGAGTGTAAATGTTGAAGAGTTGTGGCCCAAGTACCGATCCCTGGGGCACAGAGAAGCCAAGATGAACTGTCTTAGAGACAGCACTGCGTACACAAACCCTTTGCGATCTGTTTGAGAGATAAGATGTTAACCACTGGTGAGCCTGTCCACCAATGCCCATAGACTGAAGTCTCTCTAGGAGTATAACATGGTCGACCGTGTCAAATGCACTACTCAGATCGAGCAGAATTAGCCCAGTTACTTTTCCACTATCCATTTCGGTAAGGATATCATTTTGCACTCGTAAGAGGGCAGTTTCAACACTGTGTTTTTCTCTGTAGGCTGATTGGAAGTTGTCTTGAAGGTTATTGTCATTCAAGAAGGACTGAAGACGAGCGGATACTATGCGTTTGATAACCTTCGATAGGAAGCTTAGATTTGCCACAGGTCGATATCTTGCAAAGTCTTGTCTGTCAAGATTCGGTTTTTTTCAAGAGAGGCTTCACGAGAGCCTGTTGCATTGAGGCTGGAAAGCTTGCACATCGAAGAGACTTATTAACAAAGTCTGTAATATATGGTGCAAAGTCGTCAATGCATTCTTTTAGAAGAGCAGTAGGAATTGGATCTAACTCACATGATGATGTTGGAGAATTCATGACAACCCTCTTGATCTCACTAATAGAAGTTTTAGCGAAATCAGTCAAAACTGGAACAGATGATAACTCACAATGCTGTACACACTGTCCTGACGGAAGCTCGGCATCAATGTCATCACGGATCTTGGTGACCTTGTTGAAGAAATAATGACAAAAGTTATCAGCCAGTATCTGGTCAGAAGAAGCATCCGGAAGAACAGTTTCCTTCTTTCGGTGCAGCAGAGCGTCTACAACAGTGAAGAGACGTCTTTGGTTTCCTTCGCATTCTGCAACACACTCTGAATAGTATTCAGTTTTTGCCTTTTCAATTTCTTGGGAAACAACCTGACGCTGTGTCACATATGATTTGCGGTCTTCTTCACTTCTAGTACGCCTCCACTTGCGCTCAAGGCGTCTTCTAAGGCACTTAGCAGCATGGATTTTCTCAGTCATCCATGGACTCGAAGGTTTGATGATAACACTTCTAGTCTTTTTAGGTGCTAGCTTATCAAGAAGACTAGTGAGAGAGAGAGATCATATCTTTCGACAGACGAAGAGATGCTGCTATCCTCAATGTCAATTTCTGACAAAGATTCATGGACTCCAGATCGAAATTGTTCTCTGTTCATTGATCGTAGAGGGCGAGTTGTGACAGTCCTGCGAGAAGTAGACGGCTTTCTTAAATCAAGGTTACACTGGACAGCGTGGTGATCAGATACTCCAAGGATAACAGATACATCAGAAATAAGAGTGGCTGAATCCCGAGTAATAAGCAAATCAAGTGTATGGCCATGTAGATGAGTCCCTTCTCGTACAAGCTGCTTCATTCCGTAGGATGAAAGTATGTTCATAAACTGCCTTGCCCGTACGTCATTGAAATCGTCGACCCATACATTGAAGTCCCCTGTCAGGACAACTTCGGAGGGATCAAGAACAAATGAGTCAAGTAGGGTAGCAAACTCTTCAAGGAACAGACTATAAGGTATTCGCTGGCCTTGCTCTTCCACTATATCTGGGCGATAAATGACAAGGAGAATAAGTGAACGGGATTGGCTTGAAACTCGGGCTTGATAAGCTTCAAATGACATGAAATGTTGTACAGCTTCTGACTTGACCGACAGTGAAGATTTGAACAACAGTCCGACACCACCTCCTCCTTTTCCTTGTCGATCCTTATGATTAAAGGTATATCCCTCAGGTATACAGTTTCCCAAAATAACATCATCGTCATCCTTCAACCATGTCTCGGTCAACGCGAGAATGTCAAAATCATTATCAAGTACAAATTCAACGATATCGGTAGTCTTATTCCTTACTGATCTAGCGTTCAATGTACACATCTTTGCCGAGAGTTTAGTAGGTACTACTGATATTAAGTTTCTAAAGTCAGAAACACGACATGAAGAATGATGTACACGATGTCCACGATGAGTTGGTTTCACTGAACATATGCCATAGTCCTGTAATATGTGATAGGTATTCAGTGGTATCCTGAGATCAGCACACTTGGGTTGAAAAGACAAAAGGTCTTCTCTGGTGTAGGTGATTGTAGGCATTATCGCAATAGAAGCTAATAGGATCAGGAGACTCACAACAATAGTCACCATGCCGATGCTAGCCATGGCTGTCTATTCATGTTCTAGTCTAACAATAGTAGAGAACATAATAGTCGTGGACATGAATACTAAGTGCATCAAGCACTGTAATGGTTGACCATGGGCTCATACAGGAACATGTAGAAAACATAAATAAAAAACTGTAGGTGTTCCAAACATCTCAATCCATCACAAAAATGATCTAGCTGGATCGTGGAGTGATACTTAAAAGACTGCTGATGAATTCAGAACACTATTCCTAAAACTATCAAGAAAAATTCAACGAAATCACAGAGCTCAACAACAGTGCAACCTCCTGGCGCAACTGTATACAGTGCTTGGTGACGAGACGAGATATCCTTATGGAGTTACGCACCACCGAAGCTGCATATTTTATTCTAAAGATGATTATATTTGGGGGGTTTGTTTATCATACTAACTTTGATAAAGATGACAAACAACATATCCAGGTCTGTTTCGAGGGTACCCGAGCGTGTGTGAACCCTGTATTTCTAAGACGACTGCTTGGTAGTGACAGTGACAAAATGATATATGATCGTCAAAAGGGCTATTTACACATCCCAAACGAATGTTCGCATTGTCATTTATACTACTTGGAATACACATAGTTGGCTATTGTCTTGAACATTATTTTCAGCGCCATCTTATATCAAATCGTCGACGTAAAGTAGGCAAATTGCAAAGTAGACAATTAATATTCATTGAAAATTTAAAGTCGGCAAAATGTTGCTCTATGTTGCCGGTCCATCAACGGTAAGAAAACCATTATTAATGGATGGCTCTGTACAAAGATAAACATATTCAGGAATGTGTTGCGAAACACATAGTTTCCTAGTTAAAACGAAATCATTGTTTGTTGCGTATTAAGCATTAAATATGATAAAAAAAACTACCCCTGGGCAATCATCCCCTGGAAAATCACCCCCGGAAAATTACCCCCTGGACAATTACTCCCGTAGACAATTACCCCCCTCCCCCGAGGATAATTAACCCCCTCCTGTATATATGACATTCCAGTTTGATTTATCTCCATTATATTTGAAACACTGCAACAGTTTATTCAAAAAGCTCATTATTCAGTTAATAAGTCATGGTCCAACATCGAGATTTTGGAGTTTTTGGACTAAAACGTTTTGATTTATTCTATCAAAGGCTTTCGAATAGTCTGTAGTCAATATTGTTGATGTAATTATCACCTTTTCTGCATTCTCCAATATATGGTGGATCTAACCAATGAGGTAACGTGTCGTCGATTAGCCTCTACGATTTCCAAACTGACTCGATTAGGATCATAATTTTTGGTAATATCTTATAACAGCTACTTGACAATAAACGATTCGGCTATCTTACCACAATAGCTCGTCAGGCCTAAGGTGCAAAAGAGTCGTTGGCTGCACCTTAGGAACATGAACTATTTCTGCCCATTCCCATTGTATTGGAGCCTTATATTGTTGGAATGATACATTAAGAATATCTGAAAGTGGAACTGACAATTCATAGGCAAATTCGCGAATGATCCAAACAGGAATATCCCCAGTAATTCCGGCTTTACCTTGAAT